CACGCGACCACACACACACACACATTCAAAATGCACCCCCCCTCCCTACTCCGGACGCGCACGGGCACACACACACACACACGCACACGCACACACACACACGCGACCACACACACACACACATTCAAAATGCACCCCCCCTCCCTACTCCGGACGCGCACGGGCACACACACACACACACGCACACGCACACACACACATGGTCACAGCGCCCACACACACACTCATTCAAAATGCACCCCCTCCTCCCTACTCGGGACGCCCACGGGCACACACACACACACACAAGCACACATCACCAGACACACACACACACACACATTCAAAATGCACCCCCCCCTCCCTACTCGGGACGCGCACGAGCACACACACACACACAAACACACACACACAAGCACACATCACCAGACAAACACACACACACACACATTCAAAATGCACCCCCTCCTCCCTACTCCAGACGCGCACGGGCACACACACACACACACACACACTCACACGCGACCACACACACACACATTCAAAATGCACCCCCCCTCCCTACTCGGGACGCGCACGAGCACACACACACACACACACACACACACACGTGGAGCTCCGTATGGGGACACGAAACGTGTGAAGGGTGTGCCGAAATGGATGTGCGGGACGCATGCGGGCACACCCACTCGGACCTTCGGTGGAGCTCCGTATGGGGCCACGAAACGTGTGAGGGGTGTGCCGAAATGGGTGTGCGGGACGCATGCGGGCACACCCACTGGGACCTTCGGTGGAGCTCCGTATGGGGTCACGAAACGTGAGAGGGGTGTGCCGAAATCGGTGTGCGGGACGCATGCGGGCACACCCACTGGGACCTTCGGTGGAGCTCCCTATGGGGCCACGACACGTGTGAGGGATGTGCCGACATGGGTGTGCGGGACGCATGCGGGCACACCCACTGAGACCTTCGGTGGAGCTCCCTATGGGGCCACGAAACGTGTGAGGGGTGTGCCGAAATGGGTGTGCGGGACGCATGCGGGCACACCCACTGGACCTTCGGTGGGGCTACCTATGGGGCCACGAAACGTGTGAGGAGTGTGCCGAAATGAGTGTGCGGGACGCATGCGGGCACACACACTGGGACCTTCGGTGGAGCTCCCTATGGGGCCACGAAACGTGTGAGGGGTGTGCCGAAATGGGTGTGCGGGACGCATGCGGGCACACACACTGGGACCTTCTGTGGAGCTCCGTATGGGGTCACGAACGTGTGAGGGGTGTACCGAAATGAGTGTGCGGGACGCATGCGGGCACACACACTGGGACCTTCGGTGGAGCTCCCTATGAGGCCACGAAACACGTGAGGGGTGTGCCGAAATGGGTGTGCGGGACGCATGCGGGCACACGCACTGGGACCTTCGGTGGAGCTCCCTATGGGGTCACGAAACGTGTGAGGGGTGTGCCGAAATCGGTGTGCGGGACGCATGCGGGCACACCCACTGGGACCTTCGGTGGAGCTCCTTGTAAGGCCACGAAACGTGTGCCGAAATGGGTGTGCGGGACGCATGCGGGCACACCCACTGAGACCTTCGGTGGAGCTCGCTATGGGGCCACGAAACGTGTGAGGGGTGTGCCGAAATCGGTGTGCGGGACGCATGCGGGCACACCCACTGGGACCTTCGGTGGAGCTCCTTATGAGGCCACGAAACGTGTGCCGAAATGGGTGTGCGGGACGCATGCGGGCACACCCACTGAGACCTTCGGTGGAGCTCGCTATGGGGCCACGAAACGTGTGAGGGGTGTGCCGAAATGGGTGTGCGGGACGCATGCGGGCACACCCACTGGGACCTTCGGTGGAGCTCCCTATGGGGCCACGAAACGTGTGAGGGGTGTGCCGAAATGGGTGTGCGGGACGCATGCGGGCACACCCACTGGGACCTTCGGTGGAGCTCCCTATGGGGCCACGAAACGTGTGAGGGGTGTGCCGAGATGGGTGTGCGGGACGCATGCGGGCACACCCACTGGGACCTTCGGTGGAGCGCCCTATGGGGCCTCGAAACGTGTGAAGGGTGTGCCGAAATGTGTGTGGGGGACGCATGCGGGCACACTCACTGGGACCTTCTGTGGAGCTCCCTATGGGGCCACGAAACGTGTGAGGGGTGTGCCGAAATGGGTGTGCGGGACGCATGCGGGCACACCCACTGGGACCTTCGGTGGAGTTCCCTATGGGGCCACGAAACCTGTGAGGGGTGTGCCGAAATGGGTGTGCGGGACGCATGCGGGCACACCCACTGGGACCTTCGGTGGAGCTCCCTATGGGGCCACGAAACGTGTGAGGGGTGTGCCGAAATGGGTGTGCGGGACGCATGCGGGCACACCCACTGGGACCTTCGGTGGAGCTCCCTATGGGGCCACGAAACGTGTGAGGGGTGTGCCGAAATGGGTGTGCGGGACGCATGCGGGCACACCCACTGGGACCTTCGGTGGAGCTCCCTATGGGGCCACGAAACGTGTGAGGGGTGTGCCGAAATGAGTGTGCGGGACGCATGCGGGCACACGCACTGGGACCTTCGGTGGAGCTCCCTATGGGGTCACGAAACGTGTGAGGGGTGTGCCGACATGGGTGGTGATAATGATGATGACGACAGATGATGATGACGATGACGATGATGGGGATGATGACGATGATGATGAAGATGGGAGGAGGGAGGGGGCAGCGGGAAGGAAGGAACGCGGGGCGCTGTCTCTTCAAAACGAGGACCCAACACCACAGGATGGTTGGGAAAAACACTTCCCACGGCTGCCCAAAAGATGCCCGAAGAGGCCCCAAGAGGTCCCTCCAGACGGCCGAAGAGCGCTCCAAGAGAGCCCAAGACCGCCCAAGACGGCCCAAGAGGCCCCCAAGAGGCCCCCAAGAGGCGCCCAAGGGGCGTTCCAAGAGGGCCCCAAGAGGCCAAAATCATCGATTTCCAGAGGCAAACGTAGATTTTGAGCATGATTTGACGACGGCCCAAGAGGCCCCCACGACCACCCCAAAACGGCCCAAGAGGCTCCCAAGAGGCCCCCCAAAACGGCCCAAGAGGGCCCCCAGACGGCCCAAGAGGCGCCCAAGACGGCCGGGCCCCAAGACGGAGGGGGACCACGAACCGAAAAGTCTAGCCTATCGCCCCAGGACGCTCCCGGGAGGCCCCTACAGCCCCCAAAGAAGCCCCAAGAGGCCCCCAAGAAGCTACCAGGAGGGCCCGAAAAGGGCCCCAATAGGACTCCGACGAAGGCCCAGAGACGCCAAGAGCGATCGGTAATGCAAAAAGCTCTTCACACCAAGGCTCCCAAGATCGAACGGTGACGTAAACAAGCTGATAAGACCAAGGCTCTCAGCAGAGAGCGGTGACGTAACAAGTTCCTGACACGAAGGCCCAACCAAGGCTCAGGAACGGGCGGCAACGCAACAATCTCTGAACACCAAGGCTCCCAAGAGCGCGGGGTGACGTAGCAAGCTCTCAACGCCAAGACTCCCAGTACGAATGGTGGTGTGAGCAATTTCGGTTCATTTGTTTGAGGCGCTCTTTCCGTTTCCGTGCCGGCCCAGGTCTAGTGGCCTTCGGCCACCGTGCCTGGTTGGTGGGCCAGAGGCTTCTTGACTGCATACAAGGGTCATTCGGGGTGCCTCTCAGAGGCCTCTTAGATTTCTGTTGGTGGCCTCTTGGGGCCTCCTGGGGGCCTTTTGGGGGGCCTCTCGGGGGCCTCCTGGCGGTCTCGAGGCGCTTCTTGGGGCGGAGGGCTCGCAATCACAGCTCGTGCTCCCCCTCGGAGGGCCATTTTGGGCCGCCTTGGGGGCCTCTCCGATTCTCTTGGGCCGTCTTGGAGCTTTGGTTGGGGCCCCTTGAGCCATCTTGGGGCGAGCTTGGGGGCCTCTTGGGCCGTCTTGGAACGTTGGAAGATCGAACACGCGAGAGCGCTAAAATAATTTCAACCCTCTTGGAGACCTCGTGGGGGTCCTCTTGTGCCGTCTTGGGGGCCTCTTGGGCAAATTTTGGGACAGCTTGGGCGTCATTGATTCAAGTTTCCGGGAGAGGGCCACACTCTCCTGAAGGCTGCCCCAGGGGACGGGGGAAACGAGAAGCTCCTCCCACGAGGGCGGGGGCTCACCCCAGGGATGCCTCTTCTTCCAGGGGGGGGGGGGGGGGCTCCCCCGGGAGCGCTTTTCTCGTCTTGATCCCTCCGCCTCCCTGCCTACGCCTCCGCGTCCTCCTCGCTCTGCCTCCGCCTTCGCGCTGCCTCCTCCTCCTCGGCACGCGCCGCCCCTCGCAGGGCGCGCTGAAGAAGCTGCTGACCCAGGTCTGCGAGAGGTGGGGTCAGCTCGGGCCGAACGAGAGGGGGGGACAGGGAAAGGGGGGGGGACGACATCTGCCGCATGCAGCTGGTTTCGGCCCCGCCGACGGGCCCATTTTCTCGATGCATGGGCGCCTCCCGGCGCTGCGCGGCGCCGGGAAACTTAGCTGCGTGAGCCGCTTCTCAGACCCCCCCTTAAGCCATCCCGCCCTCTCGCCCGGCCCGATCAGCCCGAGCGCGCGAAGGGCATCCTGGGCCTCTGAGGCCTCCTCCCGCGCGGCGGCCAGCGGCCGAGCATCCGGGGCGGAGGGCGGGGCTCTGCCGGCGTCCCGGGCAGGACCGCCGAGGGCCCGCTCTGGTCGCGACACGTCGGCGCATCGGCCTCCTCCTCCTCCTCCTCCTCCTCCTCCTCCTCCTCCTCCTCCTCCTCCTCCTCCTCCTCCTCCTCCTCCTCCTCCTCCTCCTCCTCCCTCCTCCTCCTCCTCCTCTTCTTCTCCTCCTCCTTCTGCTCCTCCTCCTTCCTCCTCCTCCTCCTCCTGCTCCTCCTCCTCCTCTTCTTCTTCTCCTCCTCCTCCTTCTTCTCCTCCTCCTCCTCCTCCTCCTCCTCCTCCTCCTCCTCCTCCTCCTCCTCCTCCTCCTCCCCTTCTTCTCCTCCTCCTCCTCCTCCTCCTCCTCCTTCTCCTCCTCCTCCTCCTCCTCGGGCTCTTGTGGCCGCGGCCTGCCGCGCTGGGGCCTGCGCAAGCTGTCGCATACGTGCCGAGGAGGAGAACGCTGCGTGAAGATAAGCGTTCGACGGGCCGCGCAGAGTCTTCGACGGGCCCCCCGTGGCGACGCCTCTGGCGCCGCCCCTGGCGCGCTCCGCGCGCCAGGGAGGCAGCACCCAGCGCCGATCCTAGAAAGCCGCGCGGACCTCCGGAAGTTTATGCTCATGAAGTTGTTTCCTCCTCTGCCAGGGGCACCGCACGCCCATGTGCAAGGTTAAGTCGGGCGTGTCCCTCTACAGAGGAAAATTCAAATTAGTTGTGTTGTTGTTTTATTTAAAAAATCTGGGGACGATTGTTTGTTTTGAGTATTGCTGCGTCTTTTTGAACACTTTTTGAGTGTTTCTGATGTTTCGTCCAAAATCGGGACATGCCAGACCTAAGTGTAAGACCATACGTCTTCGTCGATCAGGCGTTGCGTGCCCGGCGCGCGTGACGTTTTGATGCGGCTGCTCGGCCCGCGAGGCGGCGGGACACGGCGGGCTGCCTAATATGCGAACGGGCGCCGCTGGACGCCCCGCTAACTTCGGTATTGTGTAACCGATCCCAGACTCCCACTAAATTACCACCCCAGTTGGGGATACGCCCCTCGAAACCCGAAGGGAACTGCCTATCTGCCCATCCTAGGGGGGTTACATCGACGAGTGAAGCCCAGGCCACGCCGCTGGGGATGGGGATCGATCAAACGATGCCCAGAACTGAAGAGTTCGGATGTTGATAGGCCTCCTACCCTGACACGTCGATTAGCGAATTGGTCGTTTTCGATTCGCGAGAGGGCGTCGCGGACGTCATTGTTGCGCGTCCAGGTCCGTCGGTTTCGGTCCTAGGCCGTTTTCACCAAAGGGAGATTTGCTACAGGGAGGTGTGTCCACCATCGAAGAGTGTGTGCGAGGGTGTGCGTGTGCACGGTTGTGTTGCTGAAAGTTTTTTTACGGGTGGATGTGTAGCGCGTTGTTGTTGTTTCTGCGTTGGGCTCCCACGCGCTCTGCTTTCTTCGGCCGTTGACCTGACGTCGCCGCGTTGTTGCGCGCGCATTGTCGACGCCCAAACAAAACGTGTTTGCGCGTTGGTGTGTATATGTGAACTCCCGCTTCGGCATTTTCGACATGCATCGGCTTCTGCCCGCCCCTTGCAAGCGTCAGCCACGTCTCGACCACCCACCGAGTGACGCTCGGCGGTAATCAAACTGGGCGTGCCCCGCTTCAGCATTCGCTGCGATGGATCAACCGACGGGGAAGCACATTAATTGTACTCGTTCCTTCCTCTCCCCTCATCTCCTCGATGGACTATGTTTGCTTCCCCCCTCGCTCCTGCACTGGACCGCCCCTTCCCACTCGTTGCGCCAGAGAAGGGCCCCCCCTCGCCTCTCCCTGGCGGCAGAGGGGCAGGAGCGGGGCGCGCTGCGGCCTGCAGTTGAGAAGGCGTCAGCCAAAGGGTGCTGGGGGCCAGGGGTGCCGGGGTTCGTGAAGGGCCGCGTTTCGGGCACAGTGTGGAGGTGTTGTTGCAGTCAGGGCTCAGGGCTTGGATGACAGTGCCAGGGTTAGGGTGTTCGGTCGAGGCATTCCGGGTTTGTGCTGATGCTTAGGGTTAGGGTATTCGTTTTAGGTTCACAGAGTTTGGGTCGGCTCAGGGTACCAGAGCTCGTTTTTTAAGGGGTCGGATTCGTGCGTAGGGTCAGGGCGTTAAGATTCAGATTTCAATATAGTAATTTGGAGTTTGTGTTAGGTTGACCAGGGTAAGGTTAGGGCGTCGTTGGGTTTCGAATTTAGGGTCATAATGTTAGGGCGCTACGTTTAGAGAGATACGGTGCGGCTTGGGTGTTAGGGTTAGGGTGCCAGGGCTCACTACCGGGGTTCGGCTTGGGGGGTAGGGTTAGGAATGCCAGGGCTCACTGCAGGATTCGTACTCCTGCCGAGGAATATTGCGTTAGGCTTAGACGTGGTGTTCAATTTCCTGGCCCAGGGTGTTGTCTTCTTGACGCGTTGCATGCCCCCACCAGACGATCCAGAAACGATGCCAAGGGGAGTTGCATGTGTGCGGGAAGTGCGGGAGAGCACACAGTTGCAGACAGAGGGGGGCAGCCGTCAACCCGAAGATCGGAACATGCCTGAGCAGGCCGGGGAGGCGACCACAGATGCCCTGGCGCATCTTTCGACAGGGGGAGCCTTTTGGCAACTTGCCAGGGCCATCTTGGGGCCCCTTCTGGGGCCTTGCTGATGCCCCATGGGGCAACACCAGGGTCCTCTTGGGAGCCCTCTTGAGGGCTCTCTTGGGGCCATCATGGAGGACATCGATCAAAGACGGGGTCCACTGATGGCGACCCTTGGGGCGCTCCCGGGCGCTCTTGGGGCTATCTTGTGGCCCGCCTGGGGGCTCTGTTGGGCCATCTTGCCGCTATCTTGAGGCTTTCATGAACCCATCGGAAGCGAGAAGGCGAGAAGGCAACAACACGCTGGATCCCTGTAGAGTTGGAAGGATTTTGACCTCTTGGGGCCCTTATTGGGTAGCTCCGTGGCCACTTAGGGCCGTCTTGCAGTGGTCGTGGGACCTGTTGGCTTGGCTTCTTGGAGGCATAGTGGTGGTCATCTTGGAGTATCTTGAGCACTCTTGGAGGGCATTTTGGGCTCTTTGAGAGCTTATTGAGCCATGTTGGCCCAGAAACATCTGAACGACGTCCTCGAGATGCCAGAACGTATGGAACTGCAATGGTTCTAATTCCCAACCGGTGGTGTAGGGTCTTCGTTTTGAAGAGATGGCGCCCCGCATCCGTTCTTCCATCCCGCCTTCTCCTCCCGCTTCCTGTTGCCTCTGCCCTCCGCATGTCTACAATTTTGGCGCATCCCCTCACACGTTTCGTGGCACCATAGGGAGCTCCACCGAAGGTCCCAGTGGCACCGTCCTCATGCGTCCCCGCCACCCATTTCGACACACCCCCCACACGTTTCGCGGTCCCACAGGGAGCTCCAGCAAAGGTCCCAGTGGCACTGTCCGCATGCGTCCCGGCCACCCAGTCCGGCGCACCCCTCACACCTTTCGTGGCCCCCTAGGGAGCTCCACCGAAGGTCCCAGTGGCACCGTCCGCATGCGTCCCTGTCACCCCTTCCAGCAGACCCTTCACACGTTTTGTGGCACCATAGGGAGCTCCACCGAAGGTCACAGTGTCACCGTCCGCACGCGTCCCCGCCACCCATTTGCGGCACACCCTTCACACGTTTCGTGGTCCCATGGGGAACTTCTCCTACTCAGAGGCACCGTCCGCATGCGCCCCGCCACCCATTTCCGGCACACCCATCACATCTGTTCCGCATGAGGAATTCCACCGAAGGTCCCAGTGGCACCGTTCGCATGTGTCCCCGCCACCCATTTCGGCAGACCTCTCACATGTTTCGTGGCCCCATAGCGAGCTCCACCGAAGGTCCCAATGGCACCGTCCGCACGCGCCCCCGCCACCCATTGGCGGAAGACGCCTTAAACGTTTCATGGTCACATAGGGAGCTCCACCGAAGGTCCCAGTGGCACCGTCCGCATGCGCCCCCGCCACCCCTCACATGTTCCGTGGCCCCATAGGAAGCTCCACCGAAGGTCCCAACGGCACCGTCCGCACGCGTCCCCGCCTCTCATTTGCGGCAGACCCCTCACACGTTTCGCGGCCCCACAGGGAGCTCCACCGAAGGCCCCAGTGCCACCATCCGCAGGCGTCCCCGTCGCCCCTTCCGGCATACCCCTCACATGTTCCCTGGCCCCATGGGGAGCTCCACCGAAGGTCCCAATGGCACCGCACGCGTCCCCGCCACCCATTTGCGGGCGGCATACCCCTCACACGTTTTGTGGCCGCAGAGGGAGCTCCACCGAAGGAAGGTTCCAGTGGCACCGTCCGCATGCGCCCCCGCCACCTCTTCCGGCACACACCCCACGTATGTTCCGTGGCACCACAGGGAGCTCCACCGAAGGTCCCAATGACACCGTCCGCATGCGCCCCCGCCACCCCTTCTGGCACACGCCACATGTTCCGTGGCACCATAGTGAGCTCCACCGAAGGTCCCAATGGCATTGTCCGCACGCGTCCTCGCCACCCATTTGCGGCATACTCGTCACACGTTTCATGGCCCCATAGGGAGCTCCACCTAAAATTCCAGTGGCACCGTCCGCATGCACCCCTCACATGTTCCCATGCTCCGTGGAACCATAGGGAGCTTCACAGAAGGTCCCAATGGCACCGTCCGCACGCGGCCCCACCACCCATTTGCCGATTAACCCTCACTCGTTTTGTGGCCCCAGAGGGAACTCCACCGATGGTCCCAGTGGCACCGTCCGCATGCACACCTCACATATTCCCATGTTCCGTGGCACCATAGGGAGCTCCACCGAAGGGCCTAATGGCTCCGTCCGCGCGCGTCCCCGCCACCCATTTGCGGCAGACCCCTCGCATGTTCCGTGGCCTCATAGGGAGTTCCACCGAAGGTCCCAGTGGCACCGTTCGCACGCGTCCCCGCCACCCATTTCCGGCACACTCCTCGCATGTTCCGTGGCCCCCAGGGAGCTCCACCGAAGGGCCTAATGGCTCCGTCCGCGCGCGTCCCCGCCACCCATTTGCGGCAGACCCCTCACACGTTTCGTGGCCCCAGAGGGAGCTCCACCGAAGGTCCCAGTGGCACCGTCCGCATGTGTCCCCGTCACCCCTTCCGGCATTTCCCTAACACGTTCCTCGGCCCAATAGGGAGCTCCACCGAAGGTCCCAATGGCAACCGTCCGCACGCGTCCCAGCCACCCATGTGCGGCAGACCCCTCACACGTTCCGTGGCACCATAGGGAGCTCCACCGAAGGTCCCAGTGGCACCGTGCGCATGCGCCCCCGCCACCCATTTCGGCACACACACACACACACACCCCACACGTTTCGCGGCCCCACAGGGAGCTCCACCAAAGGTCCCAGTGGCACTGTCCGCATGCGTCCCCGTCACCCTTTGCGGCAGACCCCTTGCACGTTTCGTGGCCCCCTAGGGAGCTCCACCGAAGGTCCCAGTGGCACCGTCCGCATGCGTCCCTGTCACCCCTTCCAGCAGACCCTTCACACGTTTTGTGGCACCATAGGGAGCTCCACCGAAGGTCACAGTGTCACCGTCCGCACGCGTCCCCGCCACCCATTTGCGGCACACCCCTCGCATGTTCAGTGGCCTCATAGGGAGTTCCACCGAAGGTCCCAATGACACCGTCCGCATGCGCCCCCGCCACCCATTTGCGACACACTCGTCGCATGTTCCGTGGCCCCACAGAGCTCCACCGAAGGTCCCAGTGGCACCGTCCGCATGCGCCCCCGCCACCCATTTGCGGCACACCCATCACATGTTCCGTGGCACGCTTGGCAGCTCCACCGAAGGTCCCAGTGGCACCGTCCGCACGCGCCCCCGCCACCCATTTGCGGCACACCCCTCACATGTTCCGTGACCCCATAGGAAGCTCCACCGAAGGTCCCAGTGGCACCGTCCCCTTTCGGCACACCGCTCACAT